CGGTTCCAGCTGTACCAAGCCAAGAGCGTGATCACGTCCCGCTCTTACAAGCTCGCGGTAGCCGACGTGGCGGCCCTCAAGCGTGCACGCACCGGTTTCGCCCGCGGAGGCCGCCTTTCCCCCTCGAGACGGCGAAACGGAAAGCAAAGGCATGCCGCCCGCGGGCTGCCACGAGCCCCGCTTCAAGGGAGTGTGTTTTCGTTGCGGCCAGCCCGGCCATATGGCAAACAATTGCCCTATGGGAGGGCGTGGAGCACAAGGTCCCACACCCGTGGTGTGAGAGGACCCATGGGGCGGCGCCCCTTGCCACTATGCCGGGGGGCGTAGGTGGATGCACCGGTGGTGCGTAGGCTGGTTAGGAGCCTTGGAGAGTAGCATAGGCCATGAGGGCCAGGACAAAATGGCAGCCGTAGGGGCTGGTTATGGTGTAGGCCTAGGATTGTATGCCTTTGTGTGGATTAATAAAAGAATATTGTTATCAAACAAAAAAAAAAGGGGGAGAGAGAAAGAGAGACAACAAGAGGAGGGAGGACGGATGGCACGGCAAGTCAAAAGCCAGCCCACTCTTGAGGAAGGCAGCCATGGAGGAAGAATTGGCCAAGGGTGAATTAAGAGGCAAGAACCGAGAGAAGAAAAAAAAAAAAATGACACACACACACACGGAATGAGGGAGAGGAGAGAAAGAGAGAGAGGAAGAGAGAGAAAGAGGGAGAAAGAGAGAGGGAGAGAGAGAGAGAGAGGGAGACAGAGAGGAAGAAAGGGGGAGAGAGAGAGAGAGAGGGAGAGAGAGAGAGAGGGAGGGAAAGAGCAAGCAAGGGAGAGAGAGAGACAAAGAGCGAGGGAGATAGAGAGAGAGAAAGAGAAAGAGAGAGAGCGAGAGAGAGAGAGAGAGAGAGAGAGAGAGAGAGAGAAAGAGAGAGCGAGTGAGAGCGAGAGTGAGAGAGAGAGAGAGAGAGAGAGAGGGAGAGAGAGAGAGAGAGAGAGAGAGAGAGAGAGAGAGAGAGAGAGAGAGAGAGAGAGAGAGAGAGAGAGAGAGAGGCCACAAAGACATCGTGATGAACAAGGTTGTGGGACCAAGTGACGCACATGCGCCGATCTCGTTGTAAGGCAACCTCCAAAAAAAAAAAAAAAAAAAAAAACACATGCAAAAAACCCCTGCAAGGGTGTCATGGCTGACGAGTGGTCAAGGGAAGTGTTCAAAAAAAAAAAAAAAAAAAAAAGCCAAGGGTGCGGGGAGGCGCGAAGGCGGTGACAGGCGAGCGACATAGTTTTCCCCGTAAAGCGTCTCGATAAATTTCGCGTCTAATCGACCTTGGTCCTCTCCCCTTCGAAGCTCCCAATCACGCAGGGGTTCAAGCACCCAAGATGCTGTCAGCGACCTCATCGCGTCAGGCGCCGCGATAAATGTCTCGTCGAAAGCCGCACTTACGTGCATCAGCCCGCTCAACGTTGTGGAGCAACGTGACAAATGTCGGCTCATCCTTGACCTGCGGAAGGTCAACACTCACCTCCATGTTCCCAAGTTCAAGTACGAGGGCTTGAGTCGGGTCACGGAGATCATTCGCCCAAACGACTGGATGTGCACAATCGATCTCAAGTCAGGCTACCACCACGTCGAAATCCACCCATCGTGCTGGAAGTTTTTAGGCTTTCAATTGGGTGGAAAGTTTTATTGCTTCACATCCTTACCTTTCGGCCTGGCAACAGCCCCGTTCGTCTTCACCCAGCTCATTAAGCAACTAGCCAAGAGATGGCGCGCGCGCGCAGAGTGCGCGTAATACCATACGTGGACGATCTACTATTCCTCTGCAACTCTGAGGCGCAAGCCCGTTCGACGTGCATCGAAGTTCTCCACGACCTGAAGGCGGCAGGATTCGTGATAAATTCTAAGAAATCAAACCTGCATCCCGCACACCACTTGCGCTTTTTGGGGATGGAGCTTGACACGGAACGAGGAATGTTCCTCGTCGGAAAATATCGGCACAAGCAACTACTGCAGGAGCTCCACCTACTCATAAAAAAAGGGCAATCAGGTCCACAAGTGCCGATTCGCAAGATAGCGCGGATCATTGGATTTCTCAGCTCCATGTCGCTCGCGCTAGGCACGACGGCGCGTGCCTTCAGCCATGAGCTGCTGCACTTGATCGACTCCACGTGGTCATGGAACTCGAAGGTTGTATTGTCACCAGGAGCGACAGAGGAGCTGTTGTTTTGGACAATGCACTTCGATCGTTTCAATGGCACCCCATTCCACCAGAGTTAACGTTTTGATGTCATGATCCACGTCGACGCAAGCGCACACAGCTGGGGTGCCACCTTGACCAAGTTCCCAAGTACATCATGCGAAGCAAGCGAGTGCATGCCACGAGGGCTTCTCGCCACATCTAGTATGCGGCGAGAGCTCGAGGGAGTGCTCTGGGCACTGCGGACGTTCGCATCCCGGATCGTGGGTGCTCACGTCCTCGTTCGGGTGGACAACCAGGCAGTCATGTTCATCTTGCGCAAGGGGGGATCCCGTCAAGCGGATCTTACGTTGACATGCCAAGCGATCATCCAGTTCTGCCTCGGCAACACAACACGCCTCGCGATCGAATGGATTCCAAGAGAGCTCAACGTCCATGCGGATGACCTATCCAAGATGCAAGATTATGACGACTACTCCCTACATGCACCTTGGTTTCGCCTCTTGGAACGCCGATGGGGGCCCCACACAATTGACCTCTTTGCTAACGTTCGGAACAATCACATCCAGCGCTTCTGCTCCAAGATACCGCACTCCGACGCGTTCGCTGTTGACGCATTCTCCATCTCGTGGAAAGGCGAGCGATGCTTTGCCTTCCCGCCTCCACACTTAATCCATGCAGAGCTTACACAGACAGAACTCACGCTGGTAGTTCCCCAGTGGACCGGGGCGTCATGGTGGCCGCCCCTCCAACCGTCCACTCAATCGTGGGCTCCGGCAGTAGTAGAGCACCTTTCCCTTGCCCAAGGCAGTCAATGCCTTCGGGCAGGTTCACACACCACTGCATTTTCTGGTCTCGGATTGCCTCATAGCCCAATCATTGCTTTGCATGTAAACTATGCAGTCTAATAAAAAATTATCAATGTGTTATTTCAGGACTTTTGGCTAAACTACAGCAACAATTGATGCACGTAATTAGCCACGTTCGCGCACCATCTACAATCGAGACGTACCAACCTTATTGGCAGAGATTTCGTACCTTCTGTACCGAAGTCAAGCTCGAGTTCCTACCGGCAACCGACCTGACGCTAGCACTGTATCTCATCCATGCGCTCAACAACAAAGCAACTCTCTCTGCGATCAACCTTACATGTTCGGTAGTAGCCTTTGCCCACCGCATGACAGGCGAAACCTCCCCTACCGTCGGTCCATTCACCCTGCAAGTGCGGGAGTTGGGCCAAGAGACATGGTCCTCGACCTGCAAGGACCAAAGAACCCATATCTCTCCATCAAGTGCACAACATAGCCCGTCCCTTCCTTGAATCATCAATTCCGGCGGAATACCAGAAAGGATTGATTCCTCTTCTCAGGTTTTCGGCATTCTTGCGCTACTCTGACCTCGTATCGCTCCAATGGAATTATGTACAGTTCGAGGAGAAGGCAATGTGGCTGCTCATCCCGCACTCCAAGACGGACCAGGAAGGGAGGGGTGTCTGGATCCCAGTGGCGGCAATTCCAGGCCCATACTGCCCGGTGAGGTGCACACGCAAATTCATACGCATCGCAGGCCTCACAAAGATGCCACATGGACCGCTGATAAGGGCTTTCCCAAAGAACTCGCAAGCCACACCGAACGACAACTCGCCATCCTACGTCACGATCAGAAACTGGTGTCTCGCGGCCGGCAGGCAGGCTGGACTGGATGTCGCGCACATCGGAACCCACTCATTTCGCAAAGGTGCAGCCACCGCAGCGGCAAGCCTCGGAGTTCCCGACCGGCTCTTCAAACGCATGGGCCGATGGCGCAGCGACAGCGCGAAAGAGATGTACGTTACAATCGCGCAGGATCAGCTCATCTCCCTGTCCACGCAGTTGCAGGATCCTTCGACGGCTCCCTCACCCGCCACGCATCAGCTATCAATCGAACGGCACCGCCAGCCCCGACTGCACTTGCCTCAGAAGACCCATATGAAATGATAACGCTGCCTTTGCAAGTCAGCCTAAGTAGACTTTCACAATATGATAATTTTTGAAAGTGTAATGAAATGTAACACTTTCTAAAATTTTGTATTGTGAAAAGGGGTACGTGGCCAACACAGCAAAGGTAGCGCCGAAGCGCTACTCACCCTCTTTTGCCTACAAAAGAGGGACGTGGGGACATTCGTCCCCACCCACGTTTTCATTTCCGAAATTGTAGTTCTAATTTCCCACCCGCCCACCCATTTGTGTATGCTGTTATGTAGACATATATATGACGAGAACGATGTACTACAACCCATATGAAATGATAACGCTGCCTTTGCAAGTCAGCCTAAGTAGACTTTCACAATAAGGAACTATCTCTCACGGTTCTGCAATTTTCCTTCCAAGCCCACAGCTAGGCACAGAAGCAGAAGTATACTAGCTAACCAAATCCTCGCTCCCAGGACAAAATATAATTGCTCTACAGTACAGAACTGCGGAAAACATGTTTAGGGAAAGAACTCCTAGCAATGAATTGTGGAGCAGCTACCGTAGATTGGCTATATTGACAGGGATCAACTATCAGCGACGTAAAGAGCCTCCCTCCTCCCTACAAACTAGACCATGACATGGCATGTCACCTCCGGCCTTTTTTCATGCCGATCATCTCATGCCACAAAATGGCATCATGGCTTTTCTGAATTTGCCATCTGTGCTCCCATGTCATGACATGTCATGTCATGTGACATCATACCGGCACTACCTTGCGCTTACATCATTACGATATCATCCCCTGCCATATCATCTGCTGCCACATCACCTCCTGCCACATCATCTCCTGCCACGTCACGTCACATCACCTCATCGCAGCAGCTCTGTTTCTGGCGGGAGCCCCACTGCCGTGCCAACTGCGTTGCGACAGCTGCACGGGATGAGGGCAAAGAGGAAACACGGGGGGGAATGAGGAAGTAGAGGAAAAACAGAGGTGCCAGCCACTACCCTCCTGCTGCCTCCCCTCCCCTCCCTCTGACTTCAAGTATACGAGACGCTTCGATATCCAGCCATTGATCATGCATGCTTTGATGTTGCAAAACACCAAGGGCCACCCACTTAGCTTCGGTCCAATTTGATGATTTTTTTTTCCATTGAGCTTCAGTCCAGTTTGAGACGTCTCAGTCCCAAACCTTGAGAGCCTTCGGACCTTACTCCCCTTCTCCCCACTCCCCCCCCCCCCTCCCCCCACCCCCTCCCCTGCACTCATATCATAGCTCAGTTTAGGGTTTAGCATGCACAAGCCATCACTCCAGTTGCAATCTTTTAGCCCTCACACATGCTCTCATTCTCTCGAAACCTCTCCAATTCCCTCCATACGTCTTATATTTTCACCGACGCAACTCAAAGAACCATGGAATATGATACCCACAGCATTGCCTGTGTGACTCTGTCACATGCATACCTCGTTCTCAGCAACATTCCCGGCAGCTGCAGCTGCTGCTGCCCCTCCTTCCCATTCCCCCCCTCCACTCTTCCAGAACCGTCTAGGGGGGGTCACCCACCTAGGCACCGCAGCCACCACAAACCCTATCCCCACCATCCTCCCCCCTCCCCCTCCGCCACCCCCTCCGCCTCCCCATCCTTTCCCCCCTTCCCCTCCGCCCTCCCCCCCTCCTCTCCCCCGCCAGGGACTGCCAGCCCTGCGCCAGCCTCCCCCAAACCCGCCTCCCCCAGGTGAAGCCTGCCTGGGGAAAACCCTGGAAGTACTGTGCACCTTTCTGGTGGCATGACCAGATCCAATCTCCCCTGCTGCCCTTGCTACCCCTGCTGCCCCTGCTGCTCCTGTTGCTGCTTCGCCTCCTCTCTTTCCTTGCACGACATGGCCTTGGTGATTATACACCTCGTCTCTCCCCCACCATTCTCCCCTCCCCCCACCTCCTTCCGCCATGGGCGGGGATCCCCCCCCTCCGCGCCCGCCGCCTCCCCCTCCCGTTCCGCCAGGGGTGGTAGGCACGGCAGCGAAGAGGGAAAGGGGGACCTCCGTTCCCGCGGCTGTGGCAGTGGCGCTAGGGGAAGGGGGATTGGATAGGCGGAGTGGGTCGTCTTCCCCCACCCCCCTTCCGCCCCTCCCCGCGCCCCTCCCCTTCCCCCCATGGTCGGAAGCTATGCTCCTAGGGACGTGTAAGATTTCCTCTAAGGAAGGGACAGGAATTTGAAGTACCTGCTGCTTGCACTGTGCGTGAGAGGGGGTGTGGGAGGGAGTGTGGAAGAGAGTGTGTGAGGGAGTGTGGGAGGGAGTGTGGGTGCGGGTATGGGTGTTGTTATGCAGAGGGCCGAGGGTGTGTGTGTGAGTGTGCGTATGAAGGTGGGTGAGTGTGGGAGTGTGACTGTGGCTGCGTGTGTGACCCTCCCCCTCGGTACAAGCACGTGAGGCAGAAGGCGTAGCAGCAACCACACCAGCAGCAGCAGCAGCATCCCCAGCAGCAGAAACAGTCATAGTCATAGGCTCGTGCCCTCGGCTTGAGTGTGAGTCCACGTTTCCTGGCGATACTGCTGCTGCTTTTGCTTCTGCCGCTGCTGCCGCAGCCATAGCAGCTGCCGCCGCCGCTGCAGCAGCAGACGTATCAGAGGAGGTAACAGGGGAAGTATAAGAGCGCTGGGGATGGGAGAGGGGACCGTGGGAATGTGACTGTTGCGAGTGTGACAACTGCGAGTGTGACTGTTGAGAGGTTGGTTTGGAGTTTCTTCTAAACAGCCCATGAAACAAACCGTGATGGTGATGATGCGTTTGGGGGGCCGTGGTGTGACTAAACGAGGTGTGACTATCCTGATTCAAACTGCTGCTCTGCCGGTCCAGGCTCTGGTCTGCGTTACTATAGTGGTGGTAATTCTGCGGCTGCTGTTTCTGCTGCTGCTCCTCCTTCCCCTGCCGAGGTGACTGCAACGAGAGACGCAGACGTAGCGGACTCAACCCCCGCTTCTTCCCGCTGTTCTGCCTTTCTACGCCCTTCTCCTGCCTCCCTGTCTCTCCCCTTAGCTCCTGCTCCCCTGGTTTCGCAGCAACTCGTGACACCCTACTCCCCGCAGGGACCAGATAATCATTGAACGCGCCCTCAACGGCTTTATATGAAACTATACCGGGCCGCCCCAGATTTCCGCGTTCGGCGTTCGGGGCAGCGGTGGTGGCGGCGGAGGCGGCTGTCGCTGCTGCCGCGTCCACTCCCGTTACAGTCAACCCCGCGGCTCGCACCGCGCTGTTATAATCACAATCGGCGGCCCCTGCAGCAGCGATAATCTCGCCTGAGACATCCTCCTCCCGCCTTCTCTCCCGCGCCGAAGCGCCCTCGTCAAACCGCGCGTGCAATTTTCCGCCTTCTCCCCCTCCCGCGCAGCCTCCCTGCGCCATCCCCCCGATCCGCGCAGAACCCTCCCCAGACCCGTGCGAGCGCGGGCTATGCCTCTCCGCATCTCTCCCTCCCCTTCCTTCGCCGCTCCCCGCTCCCGCCGCGCCGCCTGCGCTTGTCGACCCGCGCGAACTTTCCGCTTCCGCCTCCCCCTCCCCTTCCCACACCACCGGAACGTCCTCGTACGCCCCCCACACGCCCCCCATTGCGCACGCGCGGCGCCCCTTCAGCGCGAGCAGATTGGCGTCTCGTAAGAACCGCACCATGTGCTGCTGACGGAAACCCACTACAGATGCCGTGCTTCGGACCGCGCGGTCGCGTAAAGCGGCCAGATCGATTGACACGTCAGCAGCGTGATGCCGTGGCGGTGGCGGTTCGTGCTGCGCTTGCTGTTTCGATTTCTGCGGCGGCGGATGGTGAGGTGACGGGACGCGCTGCCACGTGGCTTGCTGACGCGCTGACGTGGACGGGCCCAAGTCGTGAGTAACCGCTGAGCCGCCGTTACGCCCCGTCAAGTCGCCATACTGCCCCACTGAATGAGCTGCGTTTCCTACGTGTCCCACGCTTCCTGATTGACCAGCCGAGCCGCCCGTAGCCGAGACTCCCGTGGACGGCTGCGCGCCACGTGTCTTCTTGATGAGGTTGAAGATCGACCGCGAGGTGCTGACCTGGTCCGCGGGTTTTGGTGACGTGGGGGATGTGCTGCCGAGAGCGGCAGATGCGGCGCCGAACCCGGCGAGATGACGCTGCCAGGCATGTGGTTGAGGATGGTCGACTTGCATGACTGAATCCGTCGGCAGGCGGAGGGTTTTGACGGAACACAGACGAAGGCGTCCGCGAGCGAGCGAGAGTCGGGTTTAGTTGAGTTTTGACAAGACTCAAAAGGCGTTTGCGAGAGTGAGAAAGTCGGGTCCGGCCCCTTGTGCGTCGCGCGCACACTACACAGGTGACCGTGTGTTCTCGAGGCGGTTCAAGGATGGCGGGTGGCGACTTGCAGGCTCAGACGGAACGCAAGTGAAGGTATCGGCAAGCGTAAGAGAACAAGGGTGATGGGCCCAAGAGAATCGGGTGAGTGATATGCGAGAAGCAAGGGAGCGTGTGGGAGAGAGAGGGGGAAAAAAATTGCGCTGGCGAAAGCGCGAGATGGAGACGGAAGAGGGGAGAAACGGTGAGCCTTCGGTTGAAAACGGTGGGCGACGGCACGCCGGAACAAGCCCAGCTGTCGCCGACTTGAAGCGAATCGCGTGTCAAAGACGTGGGTCCGATCGACTAGTATCAGCACCTGAAGCGCCTTCGAATTTACTCGTCCTCGCTGGATAACAGAAGGAAATAGGAGTTTCTACGGTGGACGGTAATCTGATTAGCCTGAACTCGCAATCTGGGAAAGCTGGGTTCAACTTAGTGGCGTTCAAGAAAGCAGGGCAGCAGGTTAGAAGCAAACTGCTACCTGGTCATACGTGTCTACCAAGCTCACATAGATCAATAAACGGATCGTTGATCGTCGCAGCTATGGAATCTGTCGCTGTTGTGCACCGTGATTATAGTGGGCAACAAGGGTAACGCGGGTCCGTCTTGGAGGAAGACAGAAGCTGGAAGTCGAAAGCCAGAAGTTGGAAATCAGTCAAGCCTCGAGAATGTCGTCTGTCACGGCTCACAACCCACGACTAATGAGCACTTGCAAAACCAACAACAGAATCACCGGCAGGGGAGAGGGCCTGACAGTCGCAGACCAGTAAGAGCATGATAAGCAGCGAGCGACCAATTCCCAAGAGTCTGCGAACGTTTGCGACCAGCCGAGCGGGGAGCATTTGCGCGTGTCGCGCTGATTGGTCCGCTGATGGCATTGCCTTGCATATTGGCTTTAAAACGCATTGCGCCGAACCAGACCGTGGGTTGTGTATTGAATATGTGTTGCCCACCTGAACCACCAAAATTGAGGCAACACCAATTGGGGCAACACATATTTCAAAGCGAAGCAGTTGCCCCTGCCCGAGCCCCCCCAAAAGTCCCTCCGCGCTCCCCTAGTCCCCCAAGTCGTCTCCAGCCAAACCCCGCTTCGACCAACCGCAGTACGCGCGGTGCGGAGTGTGCGAATAGAGGTGACCCAGCGGACTCCTACTCGAACAACGCAGCGGGGGGAAGGGCGCAGGCGCGCGGAATTGGGCAGGCGGAAAGGGAGGTGGAGGAATTGATCAGCAAAGGGAAGCTGAGCTTAGCGACGCCGTGAACGACTTTGCGACTGACACCTCAGTCAAGTTCAGCTTCAGCCGAGGGGGGAGATCGAGGTGGTTACCTCCTGCCAATCGCACATACAGGAATTGTCGAGGCCTCTGGCAGCTTGACGGGGACACAAAATGCTTCCACTCCCCTTGACCGAAAATTGTTTTCCAATCTTGTCCACGGAACTCTGGTTACGACCACCAGCAGGGAATCAGGGATTGCGTTTTCGAGTCGCGAAAGGCTTTTGACGAAATTACTTGGTTGCCTCCAACTTCGCCGTGTCCGCGACGAGTACCAAGCACGTAGGAGTGGCTGATCAGGTCAGGCAAAATTCGTTTCCTCGTCACTTACAGCCTTCGCTATTTGCTAGGACAGGACTTCTCTGTAATGAAATTAAGGTAGACTGAATTTACACTTCCCAACATGAAGCTAGATGAAGAGAACAATGAGTGCAGGCATTTCTATCCAATAATTACACAAGCAATGGAACTGTCTTACCGTCCAACAGTTCACACGATTCTCCTCACTTTTAAAACTTCTCAAACAAACTGGTACCGTAGTAAACTCTTCCTGAGCCAACCACCTACGGTATGTTGGCACATCGTTTCCCCCTTGTTCCCCACCAACCAGAGCTTCCAAGAATGTAACCTGGCAATCATTTCCTTGATCCTCTCCTTTAAGGAGCTTCCACCAAAGTTTTTCCTTGAACGATCTCCTCCAATCAGGGCTTCCAAGAGGGCGACCGAGTGATCACCGGCTGCTGCAGCATCTTCTCCTCCAACGCCACCATCCCCAAATGACTCGAATCTCCCAGCATCAGCCTTGCCACCCCACATCCTCTGTCATTCACCCCGGTTCCCCTCCAACTTGCTCATACACATAAGCCTCACCACATCTCAGACCAGCACCCTTTTCCCCTACCCCAAACCCAAACCCAAACCCCCCTTCTTCCTCCTCCTCCAATCAGAGCTTCCAAGAGTGCGACCGAGTGATCACCGGCTGCTGCAGCATCTTCTCCTCCTCCAAAGCCACCATCCCCAAATGGCTCGGATCCTCCAGCATCATTTTCGCCACTAGGTACCCTGCCACGCTCCACGTCTGCTGCTTGCGCGCCTGCTTCCCCACATACCGCCCGAGCTTCCCATCGTAGTACTCAGGCCAGTTGTCCCGTGAGAGCCGCTTCTCTGCCACGTCGATTGCCCGGCGCGCCACGTGTGGGCGGCCCACCTTGATGCTCGCAGCCGTGAGCATCCACAGCAGCACTGGCAGGGGGGAGTGGGGTGAGTGGGGGGGATGGCACAGGGGACAAGGCAGGGCAGGGAGGGGGGAGCACGGGAGCGGAGATAACACGGAGACCATTGATGCAAGGGGATAGACTGGAGGTGTGACGATGGTTGCTTCTTCCCATCGTAGTACTCAGGCCAGTTGTCCCGTGAGAGCCGCTTCTCTGCCACGTCGATTGCCCGGCGCGCCACGTGGGGACGACCCACTGCTGGCAGCAGTAAGCATCCACAGCAGCACTGGTGGGGGGGTTGGGAGGGGTTGTGGGGGGGAGGAGGAGGATACGAGGGTTTGTGGGGAGTGGGATTAGGAACTATGTGGTTGTGCTGGGGGGCACGTGTGGGCGGCCCACTTTGATGCTTGCAGCTGCGAGCATACACAGAAGGACTGGTGGGGGGAGGGCAGCAACAGGGGAGGGAGCTTGGGGCGATAAGAACTATGATTGTGCTGCTGCTGGTTGCCGGTTCTTTGGGCTACATCATACCCCATTGTGCAATTCCAAACCTGTGTCATTTTCTGGTAGGTGTGTTTTGAGGCTCACCCAGCCACGACCCTCCATTGTGGTAACTCCACCGGGTGTTGTTGGAGTCACACCCCTCCGTGATCTTCCACTCATGCCCCTCCAAGAAAGAGTAAGTCACCTCCAGCAAATTCTCCCCTATAAGCCACTTCAGTACACTCAAAACTCACCTTGTTACTCAAATTTCACCTCGTTACACAGAAATTCAACCTCGTTACAATGTCACAAGACTGACCTGGCCACGACCCTCCGTTGTGGTAGCTCCACCGGGTGTTCTTCGGATCACACCCCGTCGTGATCCTCCACTCGTGCCCCTCCAACGCAGGGTAGGTCACCTTGAGCGGCATCTCCCCTATAAGCTCGTCCCAGCGCTCCTCTATAAGGTCCATGATCGCAGCGGCCTGCTCGCTCGTTGCCATGCAGGAGAGGATGGCAATGCAGTTGCCCAGGGTGAACCAGCTGGTGGGGTAGGTTGATTTGGTAAAGGCAGGGAAATGGGGCGAAGCATCAGAAAACAGTGGGAAAAGGAAACAGACATTGGAGCCACCTCGCTTCTTGGTTGCCATGCAGGAGAGGATGGCAACGCAGTTGCCCAGGGTGAACCAGCTGAGAGCAGGGTTGGGGTTGGGGCTTGTTTGACAGGGGGAGGGGTGGGAGGGGTGGATCGAATCAACAGGAAAGAAAGAAAGAAAGAAAGAAAGAAAGAAATAAATAATTTATTGCAGCCTGTGTTGCCCGTTGCCATGCAGGAGGGGACGGCAAGGCAACACAGTTGCCCAGGGTGAACCACCTAAGATGGGGGAAGGAGAGGGTGGGGGAGGTTGGTGGGGGGGGCTTGGGGCTCGTTTGGCAGGGGAAAGGCATTGAGTCGACTTAACAGAAAAGAACTACACACTTACCGGCTGTGCTGCCTGTTGCCGCGTAGGAGAGGATGGCAATGACCCACCAAGCACAGCACTCACTGGAAGTCCATGCGGGCGGGCGAGACGTTTCCAATGAAGCATCCTCCCTTGAGCGGCATGAAGTCAAAGAGCCAGTCGGTTACGTTTGAGTGTTACGTCTCTACCAGGAGCCACCTGAGTGTTACTTAGGTGAGCGACACAGGCAAGCGAACCAGGACGCCTCCAAGCCAGCTCACCGGAAGTCCATGCGAGCGGGAAAACACGTTTCCAATGAAGTACCGTTTTCTCCCTTGAGCGGCATGTAGTCAAAGAGCCAGTATGTTACGCCTCTACCAGGAGCCACCTGAGTGTTACCTAGGTGCGTGCGTGCCCCTGGCAAGCAAATCAGGATGCCTCCGAGTGAACTCACCGGAAGTCCATGCGAGCGGGGGAAACGTTGCCAATGAAGTAGCCGCCCTTGAGCGGCATGAAGTCAAAGAGCCAGTCGGGGATGGAGTCAGGGATGACGTTGAACTTGTTCACCGCCGTGTGTGAATACTCCTCCGTCTTGTACCGGTATATGCTGTTCAGCTGCTCGTGGTCCAGCCTGGGTAGGGGGAAGTGGAACCAAGAGGAGTGCAGGAGGTGGAGGAGTAGGGAAGGGAGAGGGGCGAGAGGCTTAATGCATATTCTTCCGTCTTGTACTGGTATATGCTGTTCAGCTGCTTGTGGTCCAGTGTGGGTGGTGGAAGGGAAGTTGGGGGGATAGAGAGAGTGGAGGGAATTGGATGATATGGGTGGGATGAATATTCCTCTCTCTAGTAAGTGTAGACGCCCCACACTAACCATAAAGCAGCAGCGCGGTAGCAGTACCCTATAA